AATTACAATTTTTTTGAATTTTCTTCCGTAACAATTAGGCGCATAATAACGCTTCAATATACTAAATTATTGTTTTTTTAACCCTTAGAGTGCCAGGCGAGAAATAAAAGTAACACTCAAAAATGCCGATGATTTTTCCCGAAGGTCGCGCTAAAAATGCCGAGCGCGATCTGGCGATTTTTAGGTTAAAATTTCGTAAAAATCGAATTTTCGATATTTCGACCAACGAAAATCGATGTATCGCATCTAGTAACTTTCGACTCAATGTTAATATATGGGTTAAAAGAATCCGAGTATCCATTCGGTTGTTATGACAACTGTTCGATCATTACGAAACGTCCGGTCAGCCGGACGTTGGCACTTTTGGCTCGTTCTAAAAACGTCCGGTCGGCCGGACGTCGGCATTTTGGCTCGTTTTAAAAGACGTCCGTTCCGCCGACGTTGCACTCAAAGGGTAAGCTCTACAAAATGGTTTTAAAAAGAAAATTGTGAAATTTGTGTTTTTAGGGTCAAAAATGGAAAAACCTATTTTTACCCCATATAACCCCCCATAAACCCCCGTTCCCATAGTCCGATCATGCTGGTTCGCGAACTCATTCAAGTTTATCCCGCCTTACACCTTCAAACCAAATTTTATCAAAATCGGACAAAAATTACTCAAGTTATCGTGGGCGGATGGACACATATATATATATATCTCTCTATATATAGATATATAAAAATTAGACGAATGTGTTTTTGGCCTCTGGGGACATCAAAATGAAAAAGTAAATCGGTCCCGCGGCTTAGGTCTTACATGAGACCTACGGTAATAGCTACTTCCCTATAGGGAAATTCGCTAAAAACAACAATGGTTAGTAAAACAAGACGTAGAACTGCTTTAGAAGTTAAGATGTGATTTGCTTTCAGCTATCCTCTGGAAAAGTTCTTCACTAAACAAGCATAATAATGTGTCGTGGAAGTACAGGGAGCGGCCTTTTCATCGACCGCGACAACCCCTATCTCGGTGCAAGTACTGATGGCCTGAAGACAGTTTACTGCAAAAAAAAAACTATACTAAAAGTAATCTCATAATGCTTGCTCTTGCAGGCCATCGGGATCTGCAGGACAGTCTGCAGCGGCAGGAGCCTCTGCAGTACGTCCCGAGGAGATACAACAACAGCAAGAGGCGCTGCAGGAGATCAGGGCGGAGATTGACCAGGTGAGGAGACGTTAGTTTTTACGTTTTGTTTTTTTTTTTTATTGATGAGAGCCCCTTGGGTTGCCTCTGATCTCTATTTTTAAAACAATGGCTGAAACATGGGTTATGTCAAGCAATCCTTGACATGTAGCAATATCTAGTAAACTTACTACTTATATTTCAGTTGTTAGCTGATTTTTAAGCTTTTTGGAGGTGATCCGAAGTCGCGAGGTCAAAATTTGGATTTAGCATCTCGGTACTATTACAAACAACATAAAAAAAAGAAACCTACTACCCCATTTCATGCAAGGTAAAATGCGTTAGATTACTGGATTAATGCTTGTTTTGGAAAATTCAGTAACTCCCAATTAATGTGTGTTGTTTAAAATACAATTTAGAAATTAACAGCTGTTTCATTAAAAAGTACTATCCACATGGCCAAAATGTAAACAAATCTGTAGAGGGATCTTCAAAGACTTCTGGGCAGAGCCCTAAGGGAATTTACTTCGTTTGTCTTTTGATAACTCATCTACAGACCAAGACCTTTCTTTTGACACCCCTACCAAGTTTCTACGCCAGCCGTTCTCTCAAATTAGTGGAGGACAAGTTTACAATTAAATTTTTATATTCCTTCATGTTAATCTTATGGGAGAAAATCCAACTTTGATGGGAGATTCTGCCCAAACTTATAAAGATATCAAAAAAACGAAAAACACTTTGCAAAACTACAGATCAGGCAATCTTTTGACACTTTAATCATCATAATCGGTCCAAAAATGAGGGAGGAGTTTTGTTCACAAAAATCGGCTTAGCGTATTATATATATACAGCGGAACCCATGCTGTGAACTAGTGAACACTCTCATTACTACTTATAACAAACTGCAAAAAAAAACTATACTAAAAGTAATCTATAATGCTTGCTCTTGCAGGCCACTCTGCGGGATCTGCAGGACAGTCTGCAGGCGCAGGAGCCTCTGGCAGTACGTCCCGAGGAGATACAACAACAGCAAGAGGCGCTGCAGGAGATCAGGGCGGAGATTGACCAGGTGAGGAGACGTTAGTTTTTACGTTTTGTTTTTTTTTTTTTATTGATGAGAGCCCCCTTGGGTTGCCTCTGATCTCTATTTTTAAAACAATGGCTGAAACATGGGTTATGTCAAGCAATCCTTGACATGTAGCAATATCTAGTAAACTTACTACTTATATTTCAGTTGTTAGCTGATTTTTAAGCTTTTTGGAGGTGATCCGGAAGGTCGCCGAGGTCAAAAATTTGGATTTAGCATCTCGGTACTATTACAAACAACATAAAAAAAAGAAACCTACTACCCCATTTCATGCAAGGTAAAATGCGTTAGATTACTGGATTAATGCTTGTTTTGGAAAATTCAGTAACTCCCAATTAATGTGTGTTGTTTAAAATACAATTTAGAAATTAACAGCTGTTTCATTAAAAAGTACTATCCACATGGCCAAAATGTAAACAAATCTGTAGAGGGATCTTCAAAGACTTCTGGGGCAGAGCCCTAAGGGAATTTACTTCGTTTGTCTTTTGATAACTCATCTACAGACCAAGACCTTTCTTTTGACACCCCTACCAAGTTTCTACGCCCAGCCGTTCTCTCAAATTAGTGGAGACAAAGTTTACAATTAAATTTTTATATTCCTTCATGTTAATCTTATGGGAGAAAATCCAACTTTGATGGGAGATTCTGCCCAAACTTATAAAGATATCAAAAAACGAAAAACACTTTGCAAAACTACAGATCAGGGCAATCTTTTGACACTTTAATCATCATAATCGGTCCAAAAATGAGGGAGGAGTTTTGTTCACAAAAATCGGCTTAGCGTATTATATATATACAGCGGAACCCATGCTGTGAACTAGTGAACACTCTCATTACTACTTATAACAAACTGCAAAAAAAACTATACTAAAAGTAATCTATAATGCTTGCTCTTGCAGGCCACTCTGCGGGATCTGCAGGACAGTCTGCAGGCGCAGGAGCATCCGGCAGTACGTCCCGAGGAGATACAACAACAGCAAGAGGCGCTGCAGGAGATCAGGGCGGAGATTGACCAGGTGAGGAGACGTTAGTTTTTACGTTTTTTTTTTTTTCATTGATGAGAGCTCCTTTGGGTTGCCTCTGATCTCTATTTTTAAAACAATGGCTGAAACATGGGTTATGTCAAGCAATCCTTGACATGTAGCAATATCTAGTAAACATACTACTTATATTTCAGTAGTTATGTATCAATTTTTTGACGTATAAGAGCTTTAATATTTAACTACATTGATACCAAATATCAAGAAAATCTTTTGAAAAACCGTGTCCAAAACGGGGAACGAAATTAACATGTTTTGTCGGATGCTACTGTGCTACCAGCCTTTTACAAAACTTGGCTCAGGCGACAGATGAATTACCGACATGTCGATTTAGTAGTCATGTGTTTACGATGTTTTTAGAATGGTGCGCATAATGACCCCGCGCTACCTGCCCATCTTCAAAAACCTTCCCCCAAGGCCATATCTCCAAAACGCAACTACATCGGGGGTGAAGAAGACTCTTAAACCATTCATGATGAAACTAGACAGTCAAATGTGGTGTTTCTCCTTACAATATGCTAGATCCACTGATGTAATCGATAATGCAAAAAGACAAAACATTGTAAATAATAAAAATAGTCTTTGGGATGCAACAAACCAGAGGCCTAAACATTTTTTGTCATCAGGGAAGTGGTGGTACATTATCTAAGTTATGTCTTCACCTTACAGTAAAATATATAATTGATTTGTTGTTAAAGTTTTGTGTACTTAATTTTATGTCCAAGTAAAGATTAAATTTCATTGGGACAATACAGACAGGGTTGGGTAAAACAAAACACTGTACAACTTAAATTTGATTCAGCTCAACAACATAATGTTAACTTTAAAATGATTATAACTCTAGTAACACTACAATATGCTATCTATACTTTCAAGTATCCGTACACAATCTATAAAATATATTCAATTACAGTTTTGTATATTTGAATTCCCCCATGAACTATGAAATAATGTATAATCCTAATGAATATAACCAGGGTGTCCAGGGAAAGTCAGGGATAGTCATGGAAAGTCATGGAAAATAATTCTGGTCTTTAAAGTCATTGAAATAGGCTAAAAGACATGGAATGTCATGGAAATCCCCAATGATGGATGGATTTGACGTGACTTTTCAATGCTCTTGTTGTCAGTTACCCTGACTATTGTAGGATTTTTCACAAATGTACGCCAATTCAATTTATTACAGTTGTATTATTTTATGAGTTTTGAGTTTGTAGTTCAATACAATCTGTCCCTACTTTATCTTATAATTAAATTTAATATTTCTTCTAGGATATTGTTGCAACAGTATAGTGTATATTAAAATGTTACAACTTTATTATTACAACTCAAATTGCAATACAGTACGAATATTGTTATGATATTTTGAGTTGTCTTAGTTCGTGAGAAGTCATGGAAATCAATGGTAAATGTAAATGGTCATGGATAATAATAGAAAGTCATGGAAATTAATGACAAATTTTCTGTGGACACCCGCCTGATAACAATACTCTTCAATGCTAGGGACGTTACCTACCGTTTGTTACAGTTCTTGTTTGGACCGTAAAATTATATTTTACACACAACCTTCTTCCTTCTAAGTACCAAAGGTTATATGTAAGAGATAAAGGGCATAATTTAAAATTCCTGAAGAGGAATAGGACGAAGCAGACATGTTTTGGCTAATACTCTTGTTTTTCTCTTCTAAGGCTGAGTATATAGGAGAGAGATCTTTCCGCAGTGCATCATTTGTTCCTGCAATGAGGACAATTACATCATCATTGGACTTTGAAAGCCGCGCTGTTTCTGCCACTTGATTAATGCATGCATTCGGCATAACTGTTCCAACCGCAGTGATCTCATCCTGATTAATTTGGTTAAGTTTGTAGCCTACATTTCTACTTTGGCTATCACCATACACAGTCACTTTAATTTTATTTGTAAACACCTCTTCAACTTTATCTTTGTTATGTTGAGGTTTTTTATCTGAGGTTTTTTACTTAGGCCAACATACTGATTATTTGCCTTTGATAGACTGGGAACATTTTGAGACAAGGTATCGAATTTGTTCTCGGTTACAATGGGACTGGATCTAATAAAAACTTTAGACTTAAATGTTTTTTTTGTCTTTTTTCTTTTGTCCATTTTTGTGTGTTTAGGTTGACATTCTCAGGATTAGGTGCTACAACGTGTGGTGGTACATGGTTTGCGTTAGGGTTTTGCTGGGTCAAGTTACTCTTTATTTCCTTTTTTAATATTACCTTATTACCTTGTTACCTCCTCTTCATCGATGACCAGCCTAGGCTGGATTGATAGCGTCAAATAAAAAAATAAAAACTAATTTAGATATATATATACATTTAAAACTGTGTGGTGGCGGTGGACAGCTAGTTCATCGCGCCAGCATACTTGAAGAACTCCGTAGTTGAGTAGAAAGGGTTCTCCAATAAAAATTGTTTGATTTTATTTGTGAACACTTTTGTGTCAAGTTCTGTTATTTTACCAGGCAGAGCATTGTACATCCTGACAGCTATGGCAGGGAAACTGTCTCTTGTCATAGTTAGTCTATAGCGATCTGTATTTAATTTATGGGCACTTCGGACATTATGGTCGTGCATGTCACCCCTTGTTTCATGAGAGTTCAAATTTCCTTTGACGTGCAGAAGGCAATTTTAGGTGAACTGATTGAAAACAGTAAAAACATTCAGCATTTTGAAAAGTGGTCTGCAACGTTCCCGTCTTTTGCTGCTTGTAATTATTCTTAGGGCTTGTTTTTGCAGTTTGAGGGGTTGATGAGACTGTGAAATAAGGAGAAATAGACCATCAGAAGATATTGTTTAGTGATCTGGTGCTTAAGTTTTCTTAAGAGGAAATTGACTCTACTCAGCCTGACTCTACTCAGCCTAAGACACACTGTGTCAGTATGACAGTCCCATTGAAGTTTTGGGTCCAGGATAAAACCGAGGAGTTTGACTGGAATATCTTGAGATGGAGATGATTTACTGATGTGCACAGGAGCTTTTGCGTTTTATCTTCGTTTAACCTGAGGCCATTAAGTGAGAACCAATTTTTGCAACTTCAAACAGCTGGTCAGATTTGGTTATTGCTTCGTTGGGGCACTGTCCCTTGCCGTACAAGGTTGTGTCATCCGCATAGAGTAGGGTATCCCTTTCTCGTCCAAGGTCATTCATTAGGATTATAAACATGGTGGGCCCTAATATAGAGCCTTGCGGCACTCCATGGTCCATCGCAGCTGGAGCGGAGAACGCTCCATCAACTGACACGATCTGGTAACTATTTTCAAAATACGAGTGAAAAGTCGTGAGCACTGTCCCTCCAACTCCGTAACGTTTAAGTTTTTCCAACAAAATGTCATGAGACACCACCTCGAAAGCCTTCGACAAGTCACAAAGGACCAGTGCCATTGACTGCCTATCCTCAAAGGCCTTTAACGTTTCTGTCACCAGGGAAGTAAGAGCAGTAGTGGTAGATCTGCCTTTGCGGAACCCATGCTGTGAACTAGTGAAGTAATGGTTTGTCTCAAAGAATGCTATTATCTGATTTTGCATGATTTTCTCAACAATTATGGCTACTATGGGTATAATCGATATGGGTCGATAACTTGAGGCAAGGTTTGTGTCGCCTTTTTTGAAGATAGGGATAGTTCTTGAAATTTTCAAATATTCATAATAAGTATAATCAAATAAGTAAAGTTATGTAGTTTGCTTGTTTAGACATGTATTAGAAAAAAAGTTATATAAATTGATAAGCAAAATTGAAGCATATTCATGAAAATTTTAAGAGTAGCCTACTCTAAATAATAGGCCTACGTAAGTATTTGAGTACTTACAGTATTTTGTAGAGTTAAAAAAAAAAAATCTAGTGTATACATATGAAGTGTTTTTCTGCGGTTATTGGTTACATAGAAAATTTTATAATTGTAAATTTCAAAATCGCAGAATAAGTAATCTGTTGTAGCTTGGTTTTAGTTGATCAAACATTGCAAATTTTATTATTTTATACTAAGCTATTAACATTTTCCTAAAAGATAAACTAAAAAAAATTAATTGACCACCCTGTACTAGGAAATCAAATATAATTTTTGTAGAGTTTTGAATATAATATCAGAATAAACTACTGATAAAAGTAATGAATGCTTTTATAGGTTTTTTTTATAGGCTGGGCACTGGTATTTCCAATGCATTCCATTATTGTTGGTTTTATCTATATTCGTTTTACTTATCTGCCAGACAGTATTGTTCTTGTTTTATGCTTTCACTTTTTGCTCTGTCTCAGTCTACACACTACTGCCTTCTAGTTAACATGTCCTCAAATATATTGTAGTTATAGATTCAAAATGTAGTCTAAATTCTCTCTTTTAATTATAACCAATGTTAGAACATACATAGTACAGTTCAGTGTATCAGTGACAGTGATGTGAAATGAATGAAGTAAATCTCAGTATTAATATTTGGATGAAACCTCTACAAGTGAATGGACTGGTAATTCTCTCCTGTCGTCAACCTTCACGCCACTCTTAAGCTCAAGTCATCCCTCTCCTCTACGGGCATCACTGGACCACTAGCAGAGTCTCTCTACGTCGAACCTCTACTCTCCTAGCTACTCCTTTGAGGCCAACCCTCTGGAACTTTCCCAGACAACATCGCCGGCTCCAACCCTCTTACAACCGCTTCGCTACCCACGTCACGACTTCACTTGAAACTCACCACAACCTGGACTTCTCAAGAAAGACTCCGCAAGTAGAAAATATTTTTTAACTTAATTTATTTAGCAATAATTCAAAACACTCTTACAATATTTCTATCAGATTTTTAGGATTTAAAAGTTTTAACCTTCCGGAAGATTTCATTTAATATTCTAATCTAAGATAACAGTTCTTGTCATAATTCAATATATCCAATTTTAAAACCTGATATTAAAAAGTGTGTGAACTGAGAAGCAGAGTTTTTATTTCATGCTCTCCGATTGCCTTTGGG